AAGTAAGGGTCTGAGAATTCTGTAGGACAGTAGGTAGCTTAGGTACTTGTAACTAATTTTATTTTTGTTTTAGTTTGTGAAAGCAATAAAAAGGGCAAATTTTGAGAAAATGGCGACAATTCTCTTTGTGGGATTCGTGCCGGTGTGGTTCTATACAAGGCTATATTTATTCCCGTTGTATTTGTACAGGTAGCGGAGTGTTTATTTATTTTATTCTTAATTTCGACCCTATTAATCTAATAGGTAGGTAAGGTCAGCATTAAAAGTTGATGACCACATTAGAATTTAGAATAATTTAGTGTTTAGTTAATTTTGAACTTTAACGATGTTCATTCAATACTGGCCCTATCTTATTGGGTGATTTATGGGTGAAACAGTGTTATGGTGATGGTAGTTTTGAAAATTTAAATGTGTTCATCGACTTTTGATGCTAACTGTACATAAATTTGTTTCAATAAGGTCTACCATGTTGTATTATTTTTTGTGTGTGCCCTTCTCCTTCCTCCATCCTTCGGTCGAACCGACCCGTACTTGCCAAAGCATGGCTCTCCTTCACTTAAAAATCCCACCAAACTGATTGTTTTTAAAAAACACACCTGCGATTTTGTTAATAAATAGATTTACCTACATCCGAATAACCTATTTTGGATATTAGTGAGTGAGTTGTGAATGTTATTGTATTTCAAATTATATTATTTCTTTTTCAGCTCCTCAGTTCGTGCAATGACATTTTTGGGACATTTCTATAGTATTTACTTCGTGAATGCATTACTGTTCATACTTTTCTTCCTATGTATGTACTGGACTGTATTGGTAATAAAAGTCATATTGAACACTATTACTTCTGGGGTAAGGACTATTTTAATATACTTCATATTACATTTAACAGATCATGATCGTGATGAAAATGAACCGCAAAATATGTTGGTAAGCGCATAACTATTCGTTTTGTGATGATTGTTATTGCCAGGAAAAGCATCTTAACAAAAAAAAAAAAACAAAAGTAGAGGGCAGACCTGGGAAATAGGGACCCTTTGGTGTTAGTGAGATAGTTTGAGACCAATGCAAAGTAGAGGCGGCCTGCTAGTAGATAAAATACCTATTTAAGTTACATTCCTGTTTCAGACACCCCGAGACGTAAGGAGTTCCAGTTCTGAAGTTACTGACGTTGACGACGTCGATAAATTTATCCTTACAAACGTTGACAATCATGCTAATTTTGTTAAAAATGGTAATAATCATTATAATGGTCTCAACGAAAAGACTAATGGGAAATAAATGTTATAAAAAATAAGAAACATTGAAATTTATTTAGTGAATTAAGAATTAAGTGTAAAATTTCGATTTAAAATATTAATTCGTGATAAAATCGAGTAAAATATTACTTTATCATTAGTGTTAAATTTTTAATTTAAATTAATTTTAAAATTTTGCTATCCATTGTAAGCGAAATGGAAATACTTAATTCTCATACAAGCAAGGGTTCTAAACTAATTAAAACACCCTGATTATAAATTTGTTTTACTACCGTCTTCCTCCTTTATAAAATCGGTTTGATTTAAAGGGGAAATTGCCCGCAGTTATATAGTTATTTAAAAAAAAACTATAAAGTATAATTATTTGTTATTAATTTGTGGTCGCTTAGTATTGTATAGGTAATACATGAGTGTTATTCTGAATATGATGACGCATGTGAAAATATATTATTAACGAGCGTTCATTTGCGTTTCTCGCAATGACTTTTTTGTATGTGATTAAATAATAATAAATTGATACGAAATAATCACGTTTTATTTATGTTAAAACTAGTGGTCCACCCCACTTCGCATGGATCCTGGTATCTCGCTAACAAGGAAAATGAATTTTTTCCTTTTTAATTCGAAAAATCGAATTTCAACAAAATCGTTAGGGCTTTTTCTGAGATGACATGCTTTTTCAAGCAATCAACGCCATCTGTCGGGCTGATTTGTGAATCTTAACCATCTAGGGCGCCACTCTAACGCATACAGAAAAAATCAATTAAATCGGTCGAGCCGTTCAGAATTATATGTATATAAAGATTTATATAGATGTGTTAGCAGGTTACATAAATAAATAACAGTTTTAATTCAATAAAGTTGAATTAAAACTTATTTTTCTGTTTAATTTGTGATTTTTAACAGATGAATAAACACCATACTGTCCGTTAACTTTATTTAGTTAACGTTATTTAGTGCATCACAGCATCATCATCATAATCATCATCAGCCTATAAGTGCCCACTGCTGAGCGAAAACCTTTTCTCACACGGAGGAGGTTGATTATTGTTTTTGAGCATTAATCACCACGCTTTCTCAATGCGGGTTGGCGATTTGAAACTTATAATTAGAAATTATAAGTCACACACACAGGTTATCTCACAATGTTTTCCTTCACCGTATGTCAGTGGTATCTAAATAATCATAGAAAGTACATACAAAAAGTCACATTGATACTTGCCAGGTTTCGATGAGGCCGGTGAACTCCGGGGCACAACGACATTGTACCTACATCACAACACGGCATAAATCGGTCCAAGGCGAAATATCCACCCAGAAAATAGTATAAAACTCAGAAAGACGAGCCTGTCTGGGTTCACACGTTATAATTTATCTTGTATATTTAATAATAAGCAAGACATACCTACATGTATATACTAATATTATATAGCTGGAGAGTTTGTTTGTGTGTTTGAACGCGCTATTCTCCACAACTACCTACTGGTTCGAATTTAATAATTCTTTTTGTATTTGTTAGTACATTTATCGAGGAAGGCTTTAGGTTATAAGACATCACGCTACGATTTGTAGGAGCCGAGCAGCGAGTGAAATCGCGTGGCAGAAGCTGGTAATTAGATAAATGGATAGGTAACTACGCAGATTCTAGATTACCTAGCTTTAGGAGACAAAATAACATAATCGGAATAAATCTAAGTAAATTAATTCAAATCACTAACATATTTGAGATTAATATTTATTAATATAAAAAATACTTCTTTCAAAATAATAAACAAATTAAAATAATGGGATATTTATTTATTTAAATATAATTTTATTTTATATATTATATATTATTTTATTTTCAAACTTATAATCAGAAACTATAAATCCAGGTTTCCTCACGCTGTTTTCCTTCACTGTATTTCAGTGGTGCACAATAAAATTGGCGAGAGAAAATTCTAAAGTAGGGCAACTGTTTTAAAAGTGGTGTCTAAGTAATTATAGAAAGTAGGTACTCAAGAAAAGTCACATGGTCCCCATGTTGTCAGGTTTTCAACACGCACCCTCATGCATGAGAAGCGGGCACCTTATCCTTGTATTCCTGGAAGGATATTCGCGAATAACCGTCTCGTGGCGCACCCTTTGTACGTATGAGAGGTTTCCGGTCAATATGCCATTCTAAATAATTATGTAAGTACAAATCTAATAATGTTAGCTGCATTAGACCATTCTGGAATTTATTCAAGGCAATCTACTATCACAGTTATATCTAAATAAAACACGGTTTATTTCGTATCCAATTTATTATTTGATTCATCGCATACAAAAGAGACTATTTTGCAAATCAACACTCGTTAATGATATTATCGCACGTGGCATCACATTCACAGTACAACGACGACCTCATAAAATAAAAATTTACCTCTTTTGTTCATAATTTTAATTAATTAGTAAGTAAGTTTTTTATTTGTGGGAGAATTAAGCTTCGGCACGAGTGGGTCGGCTCGATCGGGTTCACAGAAAACCTTCAACCGCTAGGTGTCTTCAAGGCCAGAGTGAATAGGCTCTTAATAAACTAGTGCACCTTACCATCAACGACTGCATCACTGCTTACCACCAGGTGGGATCGCAGTCAAGCACTAGTTTATTGCAAGTAATAAAAAAACCAGCTTGAAACAACCACAGCATTGTTTCGCCGCGCGAGTGAGATTACGGGAGGCCCAATCCTTCCCCTCCGCCCTTTCTTCCCCAATCACTGAATCTCTAGAATCCTAATCCCCTAAAAACTGGCGACGACGACATTTGTAGCTCTTATGGGGTCCATAGGCGGCGCCAATTGCTTACCAACAGGTAATCCGTATGCATATTTGCCGACACATCACATAAAATAAAATTGCAGACGGACAAATACGAGGCAGACTCACGCACAAAGAGTTTCGTACCAATATCACCTGTTTCGTTATTTTTTTATATTTGTTGTCATACTTGTAAAAGTTATCATCATATTCTATCCAAATTTAAACAGTCTATAAGTTCATAAGATACATCCTAATAGACAGACAGACAAACAGACGGACAGCGGAGTCTTAGTAATAGGTTTCCCGCTTTTACTCGTACGAAAGCCTATACATATCAAAGTAAAATTAGTAGGTAAAATTAATAGGTAAAGGTAGTAAAATTACTATATTGTCTATTTTAGCAGGCAACTTAAACTTCTCAAATCTGGAGACTAAAGGGCGGCATGCTCTCCGCTTATGGATACTTGCTACAGCAAGCGAAGGCAGTGTCGCCCTTTTTGTTGCTAGATATTTAAGAATTTGGGGATTTGGGATTTGGTATTGGGGGCACAGGGAAAAACAAATAGCGAGCGCTGCTTCACGCCGTTTTCCCAAAAGGCCGTGGTATCAACATGAATGGGCTCGCTCCGCAATTCCGGTTTGACTCTCCCACACAGAATTTTCGGCAATGATTTATTACCAGTTTCGTCAAAAAAAAAATACAATTTTTTTAAACGTCTACTTGACAAAAAACAATAAGAAACGCGTTTAAATATCCGGATACTGTTAACTTGAAGCGTAAATAAATGTATCGTCATAACTCTTGGCCTGACTCTCAAACGCGACGCACACTTTTCTCACTACATGAACACAAATTTATAATCCATAAAAAAATAAACGCCGAAAATTATTACGTATAAATAAGTGATACATTCCGTCTATTTATTATTTTTATTTTACTTTTAAAACTGTGAGTATTTGTAAAATGGAAACGTTGAAGTGGTTATCAGAATTATTTTGGGATGAGCGCTGGTGGCTTCCCCGTGGAGTAAAGTGGGCAGATGTGACCAATGGACCGGACAAGACTGTGTTGTACCCTGATATATCGGACTTTTACTATGTTATACCTTTGACGATTGGCTTACTCGTCTTAAGGTACACACTGAACATGTAAGTGGCTATTTATAATTATTAATTTTTTACCATCTTAATTAATATTGTTGCGTCATTCCAAATTTTTTGTCCTATATTATATCTACTAGCGACCAGCCCATTTGTCCACTATTAAATTTAATTGATATTATTCTACCTTGTTATTCTAAAATTTCCTTTTCAAACACTATCTTTTAAAAAACCGCATCAAAATCCGTTGCATAGTTTTAAAGATTTAGGTAAGCATATACTTATGTATGTATAGGGATTTAGGGGCAGTTTTATCTACACTTTGTTTTATACTATGTAGTGATGTAGGTCCATTGTATATGTACAGTATTAATTAATACTTAGTTACCATCGATACGTAACATAATTAGTACGTATAAGTGATAATGGTGATAACTTAATTGCTTTTGCTAGGATAACCTAAATGTGTTTTTCAATTTTCCTAATTTGTAGGTAATAACAGCACAAAGGAAAATCTTTTAAAATATTTGAATGGCACAGCATTCATAGCAGGGCTGGAGAAAAGCGGATGATATATCTGCATTCGTATTTACATGTATCTGCTTAATAATATACTGAATATTTTCAAGTAATTGCTCTACTAAATTTTAATTGTCTTGCAAGAAATTAGGTAGAGACAGAGTGAAATCGTGAAAACCTAATTCCTATAAGTTGCTACGTGTGTAACGATAGTTATCCAGGAATAACCCTGCCAGGGCCGCTAGGCAATGCAACTCTCGTGGCTCTATTTCTTCACTACATCCTTACACAGTATGAAACAAAATTGCTTTCTCTATCCCTATGTATGCATAAATTTTTAAAACTACGCAACAGAATTTGATAAAATATAATAACCAGTGCGAAAGTTCGCTAGTTATGAAAAAAATTAAGAGACATTGGTGAGCAAAGGAAGGTTTCCTTTAATCGGTTAAAACCTTCTTTGTTATGATTTTTAATGTCTTCTTTAAAGACAGCGTAATAAATATTTGTAATTATTTTTTTTTTTCTGGTATAGCTCCCGGGATCTAGGGCCCGAGGCCTATTCCGGCTATTGGTAAATCTAGCCCTGTTGTTATCCTATATTATGATTTCAAAAACTAAATTTAAATAGACATTTTGTTATATTTGAAGGAAGATAATTTAGACAGAACTTATATGTAACTATACATAATAAATCCAGACCGAATAATATCGTCAAACGCAAGGACTTTTGGGGAATGCTAGCACATCATGTTGTCACCATCTTGTTATTGTTTATCAGCTGGAATATGAATGCTTTCAGGATTGGACTGATTATAGTAGTATTATTAGACCCCACGGAAGTTTGTCTCGAGGTAAGACATTTTAAATATCACCATTATCATCATCATCCTTTCTTTTTCTTAGAATAAAACGTTGCTAAACACTAGGATTTTTTTCTGTGTCGTGGATGTGTTGACTATTCCATAATTTTATCTGTCTATTAGTAGTAGATGTTTAGTACCTAGATGTGTAATAGATAAGGTACAAAGGTGTTGACGTAACCGTGTAAATAAAAACCCCTCATAAATCAAAGAAATAAAAAAATATTAAGTAGTGCTTGGCCACACTGAGAATGGATTTTGTGTGCAGTGACCGATGACCGACCTTCCGACTCTACCTAGCTAACCCAAGGTGGGGGGCTTGTCCACCTTGGGTTTCCTCTACTAATAAAACATAGTTCCACAAGTTGTTATCTGGGAAAGCAATTAAATAATAGGTAGGTATGCTTTACAACGAAGGGCTTTTACCTATGTAATATGTTTTAATGTTTTGTTGGTATTTTAGGTACTAATATTTTGACTCTTAAATCTTTTGTTAAAAACCTGTCGTTTACAAGTTTATTTTTACAAGATTGAATTAATTGATTAATTTGGATAATGAGAGATAGGTTATGTGTGCAAGCTAAATGGTTTTAAAATTGACCAAACACTTACTTTGGCGACTGTACAGAGTATGGACATCGACTTTAATTAAATCATACTATTTATGAATTATTAACAAAAAGGATTAAGTTTAATTCGGAGTCCCTACGACATAAATATACAATGTTTTATTGACGACTTTTTGCACGATCGAGATGGCGCCACCAGCGTTACGCCACATGCCTATAACGTGCTATAACTGTAATCTCTGAGGGCTAAATTGTATTAATTATAGAACAGCTATTTGTTAAAGTTTTGGAAAGAATTATAATGTGTATGTGTTTTTAATTATTTATTTTTGTTTTAGTTTGTGAAAGCACTAAGAAGGGCAAATTTCGAGAAACTGGCGACAGCTCTTTTTGTGGGATTCGTGCCGCTGTGGTTCTATACAAGGCTATATTTGTTTCCGCAGTATTTGTACAGGTACCTAGGTCTATTAATTTTTATAAGTACATACTTACTTTTGATAAAATGTAGCTTTTGCTAGCGACTTCGTGTGTGCAGATTTTCGCACTTAACTTTCGCACAATAAGAAGACTTTTTGGCTTTTAACCTTTTCCAAGGTCTTTACTGGTTGTGTCATATTTTGACAAAATTTAATAATTAGTTTTTTATTGTGATGTTATAAAAAACTTGCAGAGTTAGTAGGAACTTTTATTAGTTTATTTTCGCGAATTTTAGCAAATGGTTTCCAAAGGTTTTATTTTATTTATATTTGATTACTTAGTAACCTTGTAGATTTCAACTATCAAAGTTCACCAATTTTTTTTTAATCTTTTAGGTAGGTCTACCTCACGTGTTCAAAACGAAACTTATTTAAATGCATTCTCACAGGGGTGCCCAATAATTCTGTGATACTATTAAATGACCAATTGCAGATACCCTCAGATTTAAATGTTAACTAAATATATTCACTAGCTTCCGCCGGCGACACACTTCAAAATAGGAACTGCCATTTTTGCCATTATTTGAAAAAATAACAAACGAACATCCATACATTCTCACAAACTTTCACAATGATAATATTAGGTACCTAATACCTATGAAATTGCCGTTCTACAGTACTGGCCATTTCAAATCAAAATAGTTTTTGTTAGGCTAAGGCTAATTAATTTTGTTTAAAAACATGGGATTCTTTTTCCAAAAGTAGTCATTAGTTTATTGATTAGTGTTACATTTTCATCGCATTTCAAATCAAAAATTCGTTTAAATTTTTTCATGCAAAACTGCAGTTTCATAGGACCTATTATTATAGTAGGATATTATAATAACTGAAGGTAGGTATTAGGTAGTAGGTAGGTACTTATGTTTCATAATATTATGTTATTTTTTCAGCACCTCAATCCGATCGATGGTATTTTGGGGGCCTTTCATCGCTGCATACGTCGTAAACTCATTGCTGTTTGTACTGTTCATTCTATGTGTCTACTGGACAATACTTATAGTAAAAGTTGTATTCAATACTATGAGTTCTGGGGTAAGCTTTTTTTAAATCACTTTTAGATTCTTTCAACAGTCTCATGTGGGAGAGCTATGCTTCGGCACGAATGGGTCGGCTCGACCGGAGTGATACCACGGCCTCACAGAAAACCGGCGTGAAACAACCACAGTGTTGTGTTTCGCCGTGTGAGTGAGGTTATCGGAGACCCAATCCTTCCCCTTCCCAATCCCTCCCCAGTTCCTAAATCTCCAAATCCCTAATGCCTTAAAGGTCGGCAACGCACTCGTAACTCCTCCGTTGCGGGTGTCCATGGGCGGCGCTGATTGCTTACCATCAGGTAATCCGTCTGCCCGTTTGCCGATGTATTACATAAAAAAAATATATAGCTAGCTAATCTCGCGGTTTCATCCGCTGCTCGGTTCCTACAGATGGTAGCGTGATTTACTAGTAGGTACAGTTAGTTACAGTTACTAGTAGTTTTAGTAACTCCCTAATCTTTACTCGGAAGTCTATCCTTGTGGCCTACTTCAGCACCTTCAAGGGGAAACCAGGCTCCGTGCCTTGTCTCAACGTGATTTGCCCCCATTCTAAGCGTTCGAGTCACTTAAAATTCGTCTGTTAAAATTACCTGATGGTAAGCAATCAGCCGCTCATGGACGAGTTAAGAGTGTGGTGCTTTCTCCGGCAACATCACCCACAAGGCAAAACACCACGCTGTCATTGTTTCACGCCCGCGCCGGTTTTCTGCGAGGTCGTAGTCGTAGTATCACTTCGGTCGAGTCGAAGCATGGCTCTCCTACACTTGTTTGGTCCCATTTGTCCCACACTCGCCTACCAAATATCAATGTCCATGATAAAATTAAAAAGTATCTACCTGACCAAACGGACAAAATGCTAGTAAATGCTTATTTTTCTCCCGGGGTGTATTGGATTCTAAGGTTTCCGGGTTGGGCAATGTGATATTGAGTATTTTACAGAATTCTGAATTGTGCCCATCTATGGCATTAGGATATAAATAACGATTACAAGGTATTCACTCATTCAGATACTCACATTATCAGTGAAAAGTGGTTTTAACGTTGTCTATGTCCATTGCCTTCACCTTTGATTTTTAAAAAGCGTATAGGTATATAATAATTATATATCTACAATCCAATATATTATCAATTTTTACTCCAGGTTCCACGAGACGTAAGAAGTTCCAGTTCAGAAGTTACTGACGTTGATGACGTCGACAAATTACTACTGAGTAACAGTAGATAACCTATATAGGTACCATGGTATAATTCATTAAAATGGTATCAAAATGGCGCCAACACTACAACATACTACCTACATGGATGGCGGGAAATTTCGATTTTCGTCAAATAAATTGTGTTTTGAATAACCTATGTAAATAATGTTTATAAATAATAGATAGGTACCTTTATGAATGAAGAAAATAATAGTACCTTTATAAAACTTATATCTACTTAAGGTTCTTTTTTTAAATGTGGGGTGCATGAAACATTATTTGAACCGAAGGTTCTTTGTTTTAATTGTTAAGTTATTAAATTGATATTCTGATTCGACTATGTAAGTAATTAAGAAATAAACTTCAAAAATTTTAGGAAAATAGACAATGGATTAGGTACCTAAATAAAATAAAAATTATATCAATTACCTACATTTTTCTTTTTTTTCTACATATTTCCCTTTAAAAAATACGATTCTTAACTGCACCTCTATATTCGAGTAAACTTTCCCCACTATAAATCAAATAAATGACTATGCTACAAATTATTTTAATATGTAGTTGATTGTCAAAACATTTCGTGGATACTAATAATGTTTAAAATTCATCAAAATATAATGGCTTTATATCTAATTTGCCTACAGCAAAAATCTAGCTGAATCCACACCACATGTAGGTATGCATTTTGAAACAATAAAACTCCACGTAAAAAAATATATGTTTTTGAAAAATGCCCTAAAACTTTAATATTCTAGTGTGGGAACGCCTATTAGTTTGTAGTTAGCAAATTCAAGTTAGACGTATTTGCATTCATTTAGTTGTAGGTACCTACGTTTTTGACGGGCAATATCACTCAGGGCGACAGTCCAAACTCTTACTTACTAAAAATTGGCCCGTTCCTTTTCCTGCTCCAGGCCAGATCGCAATATCTATGGCTGGAGGTTGTTATACGATTCCAGATAACAGGGGTCTCCTGTGGTGGCTGGGGCGTGGGGAGGATAGTTCCCACACGCACTCCACCTCCTTTGCGAGAATGGTAGCTTCGCTAAAACTAGCGAAGCTACCATCTATATCTGATTATCAATAGGTACGTAACTGGAAAGGTACTAACACTCGTAAATAGTTAAATATAAAAACAAAAATGTTGATAGTTACATATTAATGTTTTAAATCATATATAAATCTCTTTTTTTTAAGTTAATAATAATCTCATCATTTTATTTTAACTGTCACCACTCACTTGGCAAAGATTTATAATAAGTAGGTGTTCCCACAGTTAAGTATTGCATTGTGGTTTGTTTTCGGAAAAAGGTAACTTAGTTTGTAGGTAAAATATGATAGATTTGAATTAATGACTGAAAAATGATACGAATTGAAGACAAATAAAAATATCTTATTTTATACCGGCAGGGTTTATAATAAATTGATAGCAACAACATAAAAATCATGAAAAAAAATATTAACGTCGTTTATTTATAAAGTGGCAATATTTACAGTTTTTGACATGGCAACTTGAGTACAACCTGTCACTTTTTACTCAATGAAGCCGTGAGGAGGTGCTCGTACACATTGTAAAAATTGAATTGGTTTTAATTGAATAGTTTTCTAAACAGAATTATAGTGCCAATAATGTTGAGGTATCTCCTCGATAAGTTTTGGAATGAAGACGTGTGGTTACCGCCAAATACGACATGGGCAGACCTCGCTCCAGGTCCCGATAAGGCGGTGGTTTACACCGATCATACGCACGTTTTCTTTCCTATACCGTTAGCATTTGTGTTTATACTCGTGCGCTACGTGATAGAGAAGTAAGTAACTACAAATATTTTCTTATATTATTTGCAAGTGATTTAAAATCGACAAGTTTGATAACCTAATAGCGTTAAATCGCGTGATGTATAATTTCGTGTGACGGAAGAAAAAATTGATGCACGTTCTTTTTTTGAAATTTTCACAAAAATCAATGAATTAGAATGCTTAGAAAATTGCGGTAAAAGCGTCGCTAGCGTATTGGTGAATAATCATATAATATAATTTATGTTTTCCGTTTATTTTATGAGCATACTCGTTAAAGCGACAAAATTACCGTATAAAATAAATTAGAACTGACAGTAATAAGTTCAACGATGCCAAAGCGGTTGAAACCTCTTTGGATTTGACATTAACAAAAAGTAGTACCATCTAATGAGATTGATACCAGAAACTGTTGTTGATAAAAAAAAAATCCATAAAAGCAAGAGCATGGCATTACACATTATGCCTTTGTTCTGAGTAATGTGAGCATACTGTCTTACTCCTTACTATACAGGAAGCAGAAATGACTTCATGCAACCAAATATGATTAAACCTATACTTAGCGGTTTCCTATCATGCCATATGTGCTTAAAACCTCTTTGGGAATTTTGAAATGTTTTTATGTGGTAGGTATATATAAATAATTCAGAATTATTAATTTATTTCTGTAACCCACAGTTTAAAAATCCGAAATATATTTTAATATAAAGATTACCAATCATTTATGTTGATCATATTTCTTACTGCAAAAGTTTTCTCTAATATTACAATATCTTTCATATTTTTTACAGTCAAAACATTGCCTTTTCCTTATATTGTGTCTCTAATATAACTTACTTTTATTTATTTAAAACAAATTGTCCTTGAATTTGAGGTAAATTATCTAGATTATTATAAATAATTATGTACTAAAAATAAACATCATAATCATTTTCCTTAAAATAAATACTGGTGTGTGTTTGACAGTACCAACAGTATTTTTGTACCCAAAGTAATCACAAACTCTTTGGTTAATTAAGGATATGGTAACCTAAATATCAATACAATCATTATTAGGTACAGAATAAAAAAAAATATTGATTGAAATATTTTGAAAAAAAAGACCCCACTCAAGTTCTAACTTACTTGAACTCCCTCAGTTTTAATAGGAAAACAAAATGTGAAGTGTAATTTAAGATATTTTATCTTCTTATTTAAAAAAAGTAAAAAGCTGTTTGTTAGTCTCGCTAAAACATGAGAAAGACTGGACTGACATGGCTTATTGAGGTCTTGAAATATGCCTGGATATACAGGTAAGGTTTAAAAGGTCAGAAAACATTCTATAATACTTAGGGGTTTGGAAATAAAAAAAAGATATAATTGCATGTTTTAATATATTATGCATTTTTTTTATAAAAATCAATTTAATAATATAATTCATAAGATAAGCTTAAAGTTTAATAAATCATTATCAAGCATGTAAGACACAATAATTATTTATTTTAAAAATATTCTGAAGAAACCCAATTTGCGGACTTAAATACTAAGTAGCTAGGTAAAATAAAAATGGTTGTCATATGTGTGGAATCTAAAAAAGGTGTAATAACTAAAATAAAATTGTAAAAAGTTTTGAATGTTCTATTTTTTTTTATTGATTTTAGTTTCGCGCTTGACCGCTATCTCGTATTTTTGTAACCATGAATTATTTCTAGTAATTTATGAGATAATAATAATGTGAGATTATAAAAAAACTTTTTCTCACTTATCACTACTTATATATCATTATCAGTATTACAAGTTTATTTACAATGATTCATTCAACAATTTTCCTCAATATTTCAGTATGACTAAATATTTTTGTTCATCCTTGTATTTTTGCTTATGATGGACAGGGTCATAACAGTTTCTAAGCGGTAATAAAATTGATAAACAATAACATAAAATATTTGCAAGCAACAAGCAATGGGTCATTAATTTCAAATAATATGTTTGTTGGATAATAAGTCATAGGCTATTCTTATACAATGTCTAGGAATAAGCACCTGCTTAACTTGTTCTAGGTATTTACTGTTTTATATACATTGTGGCTTATTTAATTTTGTAACATAGATGAATAATATTAAAATGGTGTTAATTTTTGTGCGTTATGTATGTAAGTGTAATCCACTTTCTCGTTTGTAATGTGAGTTTAGATTTTTATTTATTTAAATCTTAGGGTTTAGCCTTTGAATCTAGGAAATTAGAGACAATAGGAAAACAATACATGCGCGAACGGTGTTCGCTTGGGGTTTGATGAATAAAGTAGAAATATTGCAATAATAAGGTATGGGGTGTAGATATTTTTGTTAAGAGGAAAAAATCATTAATATCAATCATCAAATAATTTCCGCTCCCTTTCTGGACATAAGCATGTCCTAAAGCTACAGCTCGATAGTCAACTCTTCGTAACAACCATCGTCAGCCACACCATACCTAATTACTTAAATTAACTATGATCGTCCAAGAATGCGAATTCATATTAGAGCTCACTAGCCTTCCCCGCGCTTTTTAAACATTAAGTTATACTAAACCGTCCTAAGGAATTACGCTATCCATTGGTGAAAAAAAACACGAAAATAAGTTTGCAAAGTTTTTGAATTATCGCGTTCATCCAGTAAAATAGACGTAAAAGAAATCTTCTCTAATGGTAAATAATTTACTTTGATTCTAGTATGTATGTTGTATGATTCAGACGTAGATTTGCGGACGACGTCCCGACTACCTAAGGTACATGAACATCTAAATGCGGCTGAACGACAAACGTAATTGGGCCGCTAGCCTAAGGTTCCTTGAACCGCATTTCCGGCAGGTTCCTCCTAATCTAGACCTTTAGTGTCGTCATGTACAATTTAAACTACAAAGTTATTTCAGTATTATAGTTCTTAAGATCCAAATACTAGTTATCTGTTCGTGTAGTGTCTTTTCCCGATTCATAAGTTACAGTTAGACACGTAAAACCAAACATGAATTAGTCACACTGTCAAGTCAACACTTAAACATAAAATATACTTCCCAAACATTGAGTCATAATCGTGATAATATAGATTAAATACACATCAATTGAGTTATATTTCGTTATCTATATTATGAGTATCTGTCTACATACATATTGATTGGCTAGATCGAATTGAGTTGACTTGGTCGTACGGTCATGAACCTGTTACATCTAGTTGGTGTCATTTACAATGCGAAGCCACAATTCATGAAGATGTATTTGCTATTACACTTTAAGACTATTATTACGTGATTCATGAACTTCTGACGCTATTATTCAAGCCTTTTTTGTTGGTATTGTGCCAAAGTTCTATCGATGCTGAAGGTCTAAACAACAATTAGGAAAATGAGTTCTTGTAAAAATTTTTTTGCTATGTATGTCATTGTGCAAGACTCGTATTTCGATTCTGTGTTAAAACAATGAGGTATCAATACTTCGCGAAGGGATTCGTATCGAACAGGAAATCGCAATGGCTTCCCACTTCCCTAATTAATTGAATGTGTAAATTCCACGGTAGGAAACCTCAAAAGTTCGCGCTTACTCCACCAATAATATTAACACACTTTTGAACAAAACAAAATTCCAAAATGAATACTTTCGTTTTCATTGATTGTACAGAGTTACAGACGGCCAACTTAACATGGTCTCAAAATTCTTAAATAAATATTCAATCTTGTCTTTTTGAAATAAAGTTGAAAATCTTTTACGTAAATCTGGCGACGTCAACGGGTGATATTCAAGCAGAACATTTGACGTGCCTTCAAATGTGCTAATCTCCGGCCACAGAATGTAGGCGACCTTACCTTGCCATTTGTGTCCGTACAACAAATCGCATTGTAATATTTTTTCACATAGTTACGCGTTCGTGAAAATACACAATAACCGTAAATATTTATGCCTAGCAGCTCTGAGTATTTGTCGTTTGTATATTTAACCTACATACTTTAGGTATATGAATTGTATTCAGACTTACGTTTGGAAATATTTTTTAACCGAAAATACTAACCCCAGCTTCCACTAGAGACTCCCGTTTAGTTAAAAATGATCTATTACATATTTTATTACTTACATAAATGAAAAATAATTTCCCTATAATCCGATTACCGAACTTTTTACTAAGGATAGTAAGTCGTGACTGATAGTTTTACGTGTTCTGTGATGCAAAACATTTTCTAACTTTCTACTATAGCAAAAACCTCTGTCAGTACAGAAAGGCCAGTATTCTGTACTTTTTCCTAACAGCAAACAGTAGCCAGAAATACATACATTCCTGAACGAAGACCTTCTTAAGGAAACGAGGCTTGCTATTATGACCACGCCTCACCACGTCTCTTAGGGCCTTTTAGAAGTTAGGTCACCCTCCCTCGGGGCTGGTGCCTTTAGGGCATAGTTACCCAGTCTAAGAGCTAATCTTCCTTTAAATAAACCGTCTTTGCTCGGCTGTGGGCACAATACGTTAGTGATGTTTTTTTTTGTATAGGGTTGAAGAAATCTCATGGAGTGAGACTGTCAGACTATAACTGACTAAAAACCAACCTGGCGTTCCTCATTTACCCATGTGTCGGAGGGGCGGGAATCGCCAAAGCATTCGTCGCAACCTGGTGATGATGATGCGTTTACTATCAGTAACAACAGTTGACCCCGTAACTCGGATATTCTCGTTATCAGAGAATATACAATATAATAAATTAAAAACATAAATACCGGCTTATCGTCTGGCGAAAGGGTTATTAGTTCATGGACTTAAGTACTTGACATTGTACAATGCAGTATAGATAACTTTTAAATATTAATGACAATGTAAACAACCCCTTAGACTTTTATTCTCAAGAATATTTTTTTATTTCGTCATTATCAGCTTATTAGTGTGCACTTTTGAGCAAAGGCCTTACTCAAGGTGGATTAGCGATTTTAGAATTAGTCCAGGTCTCCTCACGATGATTCCTTTTCCGTATGTCAGTGGTGTCTAAATAACCATAGAAACTATAACTATTTTGCAAAAAAATATGTTTTGATTGTTGACAATAGAAATCGTTCAGTGACTTGTCCCGTCCTGGGTTGGTCGAGAGTGAAGGTCGGACTCTTTCTGCTACGATTGGGCTCGCGATATACTACTGCGCTTCCATCACACGCTAACGTAACCATCCAAATATATGATCGCGCCCGATGTTGCTTAACTTCAATTATCGGACGGATCGGTATAGCATTAATTCTTTAAATTATTATAATAATAAATAAAGTCTTTATAGTGATTGTTAGTGTGATCACAGATAACTCTTCATATTTTAAATTTAGAAGGAATGCAAATGGTCCTTCTTTCCTCGTCTTTATCAAAAGTCATTCTTATTTCATAAGAACTTTAAACAATCTCGGATTCTGACTGTTTTATAGTATTTGAAGATTTTATGTAACTGTGTCAAAGCGGAGAGCACAGCAGCCTCGTCAAACAATGTCGTGTGCTTTATCTACGATCCAAAATAACAACGTAGATAAGAGATAAGACTCCTAACATAAATAGCGCCATTTCTTTTATCAATTCTGAGAGGCTTTTCATCTTTTTCGAGTTCTTGGGAACTCTACTGTCTGTATTTCCCCTAAAAGCCTCTCTTAAAGGGGTTATTTATACAATGTCATTCTATGATTGCTAATTGATTATTAAAAAATCAAGTCAAAACATATACTTCGTTAATTCCTAGTCTCAATACATGTTTGTCCCATTTAAAAAATATTTTTTTTCCGTTTTATTATATCTAATTCATTGTCGTACATTAGTCGGACTAAAAATATGGTACTATTAACCAAACGTTAAAAACGATACTTTTCTGCGAAATTTGTATGAAAAACTGAGTTATGACGTCAAAACATTTTTGCGTCAAATAGCTTACTTATTTCTTAATAATTAGCTACAAAAATCAAAAAATTAGTGTATCGATCGATCGATGAATGAAAGTTTAGTTTGCTTTTGATATTTTATTGTATTGAAACGTATTTATTTTTGACCTAGGAAACTACCTAATTATTTCTAAAAGTAAAAACGCACCCCTGATTTCACTTAGTACTCTGCAGTTTGCCCTGGTAGAAGTCTTTACCTAAACCTAAACTTACCTAGTGGTGTCCTAAATTCACCAACTGGAGCGGTTATACTTAATTCTAGGTCTTACAAACAAACCATATCGATCTTAGACGTTAGGCCTTCGTGGAATACGAATCTAGTTAATAATATCACGATAGAACATTTGGTATAAATGTAACCGTTACTAAAGTTCTAAGAGACCTTAATTAAAATCATTTTAGTAACATAAATAACTAGCTCTTACCCGCGGCGTCGCTCCCGTCATTTGACTATCTACCCTACTCTAACTACCCTACTCTACCTACCCTACTCTACCTATCCTACTCTACCTACCCTACTCTACCTACCCTACTCTAGCTACCCTACCCTACTCTACCTACCCTACCCTACTCTACCTACCCTACCCTACTCTACCTACCCTACCCTACTCTACCTACCCTACTCTACCTACCTTACTCTATCTACTCTACTTTACCTACCCTACTCTTCCTACCCTATTCTACCTAACCTACACTACCTACTCTATCCTATGTCCTTCTCCCAGTTCTTAGTTACCTCCCTACGAATTTTCAGCCAAATCGGTTCAGCCGTTCTTGAGTTATAAGTGGAGTAACTAACACGACTTTCTTTTATATATATAGATTACTCTAATAGTAGATATCCAGACAGCTGATGTTAACGATCTTTGCTTGGTTGTATTTGTTTCCGAACCGAATAACAGGAATACGTTTTCCCGTAATAGGTTTATTAGTATTACACGGAGCTTATACAATGTTAGTGAGAACAACTATTTTTATCCAAATGGTAACGTTTCCCCTAATCAATACGATAGGTACCCTTTCTAAGATAGTTAATGTAAGTATTTTCTGCAGGTTCGTCATTGCTCCATTTGGCACATCATTGGGTATTAAAAACACGAAGCCACGACGAGCACCGGACAATCCCAAGCTAGAGAAAATCTACAAGACCTCACCTAAACTAAAACAGGTAAAAATATCTTATAATTGTTTTCTTCATCCTATTACAATATTATTAAAGGTGTAGTTTTTTACCTAATTACAATTGATCACCAAATGTTATATCGTATCGAGTTATCGTTAATAATTCGAAATTTAAAATTTTTGCGTCTACTCCCCCTTTTGTGAGGGGAAAATCATCAAATGAGTTTTCCCGCTCAGGGGGAAGTGTCAGGATGTTACTGACTAAAAACTACACCGTTTTTTTCTCCTGCTCTGGGCCGCGGTACCTCATTGCGCTTGCCCCGTAACCCCGGCTGAACATGAGCCCAATATGGCCTCGACTGTGAGTGGTGGTCTATTGGCTCTTTGAGGCAAGCGCGGAACGCTACGCGCCGTACGTTTGGGTCTGGTTCTGAGCTACCCTTACTCGCCGTCAGCAGACCCGCGCTTACGGCGGCCGGAGATCGTGCCTCGATCCCCGACCATCTAACCCTGAATTCTGTAATACCGCATTAAGTAGGTACTAAGCTATTGAGCAATTCAGCTTTCTCACTTCCTGACAGTCGACAAGGCACTCAGTACTAGTTACTAGACTAGCACCAAAGATATTCTAGTACCATAGGTAATAAATAAGTGATACAAATATTTTTTATCAATTATTACCTTGTTGATATAAGAATTTACTATTATTTCTGCACCTAGCGACTAATATAATATTCCTTTATTTGTTTACTAGCTACTCTCGCGCGGTTTCACCCGCTGCTCAGCCCCATTAGATCGTAGCGTGATATTTTATAGCCTATAGCACTCAGGAACATTGTAGCTATCTATCAGTGAAATAATTTTGGGAATCCGACCAGCGATTCCAAAGATTACCCCCTACATACAAACTTACAAATACATATAGTCATAGATTTGTTAATCTTAGGTAAGAATTACCTTTGCCCTTTGAAAAACTCTGTAACGCGTCTTTCGTCAATTGTTTTTGTAGTTCCAGCAATAACGTCGGTAGTTTTTTTATAAGATGTTAGTCATGTCATTGTTATTTTGGGGAAAAACTCAATGCTGAAGTGTAATATTTGTTAATACTTTTAGCGGAACGCAATGAGATATATTGACAGTCAATAATTCATTAAATTACATTCTCCATAAAATTACTGTCTCTACTATAAAATACAAATTGTGTAATACATATTTTTTATTTGTTTCAAACTGTTGTGTCAGTCGGGAGATTGCGTTTAATTACATTGATTAGATACACTAAATAACTAATCCGTCTCAATAACATTAGATACAGTATCATAAAAATAAATAATGCAAATAATAATCATATCTTATTACGAATCAGAATCGTTGACATGAGTTGTTAATGTAACTACGAAAGTGCTCGACTATTTTCAAGTCACGACTGGGACTCATAATTACGAGCAGTATGCGCGGCATTTTACTGTAGAACGCAGAATTCTAGTGAACACCTTTGTTTTAATAAGCTTACAAGAAAATACATGCAAAGCTTAACAATTTTTGCTTGAACCATAGGTACTTTGAATGCCAGTGAAAATATATTTTAGGCATTTATTTCATCTACAATTTAATAACAATTTCCTTGGGGTTTGAAGTTGAAGTTCAGACTAGAACATAGTTTCTAGACTATTAGCTGTTACTATCATCTTCGCCCCCCGCGTTATGGAGCTAATTGTTTGGCACTGTTCAACTACTCTGACGTGATCGAGTAACAAAACGTTATTTCGTACGGTGGTCGTCAGAACAGTTATTTGGTATGCAAGTAAGGAATTTAATATTGACTTAGTACAGAGACAGTTAATATTCATTCAACGGTTTTTAACTAAACCAATGTTTTGTAACCATTGGTTTGTTCAGTGACATGTTTAGTTCATGGATCTCCTACATAAGAAATAACTAGGCTAGTCTGTAAGTCTATCCAAACTTTCGAGATATAAGTAGTATTTGTAGGAGTTATATAGATTACAATGTTTATTAAATATTTAATAGAAAAGCAATTGTCGTGAGTCAAATTAATAAAAAAGAACGACTTATCTACGTTAGTTAACGGCTGCGCGACGTTGCCTCGACACGCACGCTGCTCGTGAATAAGAGTCCCATTATGACTCGAAACTGATAGGGCTTTTCTGGATTATTTCACACTTGAGTAACCCCCGGTTTCCGAAAGACCGATCAATGTTAAAATCAATTTAACTCTTGTCAAGTCATCTGATTGGTTGACTGAATTATCAACAAACAATCAGATGACTTGACAAAAGATTTAACAGGAGATTAGTTAATTTTAGCGTTGACAAGCCTTTCAGAAACCGGGTGTTAGTAGTTATTTTTATCATTTGTTCCTTCTAAGTGTAAAGTTAGCAACTTGGTATTGATCCTTTGTGGTTTTCCTTACCATGCCCGCTATCAGTCAACGCCCCATCAGTCATTCCCAGTTTCTTTCATGTAAATATTCACATAAACCATCCATCTTATCTTTGGTTGATCAATATCATAGTAGGGAACTATCTATCAATGTTTTATTTAAACTTGTCCGTAAAGAACCGATGATTTGGTTTTGCCGAAAGAGGGGCTTCTTTTAGGAACTTTGATATATTTACGTACTTTTTTTGGGAGTCCTATACATCATTAAATGGCTTCTCTCACCTAGGGTATGATGAGAGGGAGTGCCAGACTCTTACTGACTAAACCCCTCCCACCCTTGCTCGCCGACCCACGTGCACGAGATTGTCGTTCGATCCTCGACGCCCGGTATATCGCCTACTACGGTGGCTGGCGCGTAAGGAAGATAGTTCAATTCTCTCATTAGCTACGCCTCCTCCTTTGCGATCATCACTGCTTCGCAAAAAGGGGAGACGGCTTTTCAGTTCCTCTGGCTCCGCACTATGGCCTCCATGACCGTAAACCGTAAGGATGACAGGGCTACACCAACGCGTTCAGGCAAAGTTACGCAATAAAGCTAGCATTACAAAAGCTTCCACAAACGGGCAGTGCGGAAATATAGGTCGAATGCGTCATGGTACTTATGCTAATCACATTTTAATATTAATTCATGCCGTATATTTAAACTAAACTAGTCACATTCTTGTAATGAAAAATAACATCAAATCGTCTAAACCAGCTTGTGAACCAAGTACGATGACGTCACGAGGCTTTACATTTCGATAAAAATTTAACTGTGTCCAGATAACACAATTCATAAAAACTTGAATAACAATAAAATATACAATTATAGATAAAATAATTGTTTCACGGACGGGCCTATAATAATCTTTATGAGAGTTGGTACACATTTTGATATATTGTATCAATATCATCACCACTGGCTGGCCACTGCTAGACTGGGCATCGTCTTCATAAGAGTAGTCTTTACACTTGGCAGGATTTATTAGAGTCGAGACCCTAATCTCCAAAAGGCTGCCAACGCACTAGGAACTTCTCTGGTGTTGCAGGTGTCCATGATGGACTACAGTCATTGCTTAATATCATATAATCGGTCGGGTCGTTTGCTGTCCTATCACAAAAAAAGTTAGGGTCCCTTAGTCAGTACAAATATATTATCCGCCCTTAAGCGTAGGAAAGTTCTTGTATACCGGGATTTAAAAACAGCAGCGCTTAAACTTTACGGCGATAGCTCGAATAAAATGCTCAAATCAAGTATAATTTATAGTCTATACTCGGGAACATTATAGCTGTCTTATCAGTGAAAGAATTTTGAAAATCCGACCACAGCGGTTTTAAAGATTAACCCCCAACATACAAACTTACAAATGTTACCTCTTTATAATATTAGTAGGTAAAGATAAAATAAATACTATTACAATCAAGTGGTCCCTTAATACTTGACAAACCGTGTAATCTATTGATATCTACGGCAAATATGTGAACAATACTTGAGAACGACCGTTGATGATAATTTCCCATAAATTTTGTACAATATTTGCTGAATATTTTAACATTTTTATAACGAACAGGATAGTTTTCCTTCTTTTCTTGCACTTCCTTTTTATTTCATCATTTTCAAATTTTTTTTGGTACCTGTTTATAGTTTAGGTGAAATAAATGATTTTGAATAATTGAAATAGATAACAAATCGGTCCTCAGAGTAACTGTGAGGTTACCGGAGGCCTAAACCTTACCTCCCGTCCTCAAATCTCCAACCCGTAAAAAATCGGCAACGCACTTGCACGTTCTGTAGTGTTAATTGTGTCGCGCGAAAGACGCCGCGTCGCGTGTCGCCGAATGCTACTCATGAATATGGGCCTCTAGCATGGCTTGAAACTAGTCGAGCATCTCGTCAAAACAATAACGTGAGTAAATCGGAAACATAACAATTAACTCTCTAGTGTTGTAAACAATGGACATCCTCCATGGGCGGCGCTGATTGTTTACTTTAAAATGACCCCATTCATCCCAAATACAACAAAAAAAAAACATTTTTATACCGTAGCAAGTATTTATAATGAAAGGTGACGGATTAGTTCATCAAACCCCCGGCGGCGTTCGCTTGGGGTTTCGAATTACCACGATTGAAAGTTTTAACACAATTTAACGTATGTAATTCACGTATCAACGAGCTTAAACCACGTAACCGTTAAATATTAATAGTGGTTGCTCATTGGTCGATAGCGTACCGTAATTGGTTAATAAATTCTTAATGCGTTCGAAACATATTACGTTTATAATTTGTAACTGCTTTTAATACGGACTCGTGTAAAATTTTACTACTAAGTACACTTTTTTTTGTGAGGGGAAAATCATCAAATGACTTCTCCCGCCCAGGGCCGGGCAGGAGGGAGTGTCAGACTCTTACTGACTAAAAACCCCCCTGTTCCTTCTCCTGCTCTGTGCCGAGGTCGCGGTGCCTCATTGCGCTTACCCCGCAACCCCACTTTGATGCCTATTATATGTTTATTATCAATGTCACAGCATCACCCTATAAGTGCCCACTGCTAAGCAAACGCCTTTGTCACATGGAGAAGGTTTGAGCACTTGTCATCACGCTCG